CCCCCCCCGTTTCTACATGTTGTAGGAGTGTATCCCTTAATGACAGCACTCTGAACATTGTGTTAGAATTAACTAAAAAGAAAAAAAATATCCCCATACCCACCCTAACCTATGGCTTCATCTATGGACTTGAAAGTGTGAGGCAGCTCAGTGGAGCTACTGATGCCTTCTGGAAACTATGTGTGGTTGTTACTAAGTGAAACATGACCATTTGCCTGGGCTGTATTTAGTCATGTGGTATACATAGATCTCCTGTGTAAGTGCCTCCCAAAGACAGACTCTAACCCCAAACCTGGATCCTATCAAGTAGGACCTCACCTCAATAGACAAGGCTATTGATGGTGCAGGTGATATTAATCCCACTTTTAAGGGGGATTTGTATTAAGGGCGTAGAGGGTAGACCTGATAATTTTTTGAGGAAAGTAGGTGTGAAGTTTCTAGGACTCTGATTCTTGGCTCCTAACGTCTCTGAGACTTTAAGCCCAGATACTACTCGAAAGTGAACTAGGAGGCTTTGCCCCAGGCCCACGTCCCCCAAGAGTGTGTTGGACACACCACTATGCTTAATGCTGTTCCAGATTAAATCAGCATCCTTCAAATTTGCCAGACCTATTGTCACAGTAATCTGTATTCCCAGTCACACATGGAATGTTTGTTCGCTGGCAGCCAAATGCACTTGGAACTGGCAGTGATGATCTCATCAAGCAGGAAAGCTGAGCAGTTAGTCAGATGATTAACACGTTATTGAGATTGAGGAGTTGAGTGTCACACAATGAAAATATCTGGGCAATGCCAAATCAGGAGTTTCCAGTTTGGGAAAGCTTAGGGATCGTCCTATCCAAAGTTCTTTTAATTTTTCCCAAGGTGGAAACTGAGGCTTGAAAAAAAAAAAAAAGGGTAGATGCCAGGGCTTCTGGCCTGTGAAAAGTCCAAATGCAATGGTTCTCATAAAATTCATTCTGAAAAACAGTACTGTAAGCTGCTCAGGTCTCCCTTGTCATGACCCCGTGGCTTTCGTGCTCAACTGCAGCCATTAATTCACGCCAGATGCCTTGTAACATCTATTCCTGGTAACATCTACTTAATAGTCTGCTTTTATTTTTAATGGTCCTGTTTGTATTTACTGATGTTTAGGGAGATCATTCTCCCACCCCCCCACCCCCACCCTCTCCATGGCTCCAATGCAGATTTCTCTCCACTTGCATACCTGATGGATGGATGGATGGAGGGCCAGGAGATTGAAGATGGGGGTATGACAGGATCTTCATAAATTGCTTGCCTACCTTGCATCTAGGGACTTTAAGGGATGGGTCCTCCAAATGGTCTACAGGTTTCTTTCTCTTACATAATCATGCTTGGCAGTGATCCTCACTCTGCCTTTGTCCTGAAATTATTTGACAATCTGCTTGTACTATTTAAAATTGACTCGCTGGTATCACATCAAATCAAAAAACCCTGCCTTCTACATATGTTACCGGGTTTTGTACCCTTTCCATTTTCTCTGGAGGAGTTCTGGTGACATAGTGGGTTAAGTGCTAAACTGCCAGTTTAACAAGGTGAGTTCAACTCCACCAGCCGCTCCTGAGGAGAAAAATAAGGCTAACTCCTTTTGTAAAGATTCACAGCCTCCAAATCCATAGTGACTGGTTCCCTTCTGTCCTACAGGGTCTCTCTCGATGAGCCAGGAATGGACTCCGTGGCAGTATGGACCTTTTCTCCAACGGACCAACCTTCTCCCTCAGAAAGGATTCTTCTAGTGACGTTAAGATGCTCCTTTCTATGGGGGAAATCACGTCTTTTATGGGAGACTTGTCTTTTCAAGTACTCTATGCACTGGAAAGTGATTGCACTGAGGTGTTCCCTGCGGGTGGCTCTCTGTTGATGATGTCTAATGCCTGATTTTCAAGTTGATTCCAAAGTCTTTGGATAAAGGCAAACTCTGTCCTTTCCCAGCCCTAGTGGAGGGATGGGGAGGGAGCATTAGGTTGAGAGGAGGAGTATCTCTTAACCAGGGTGTATCTCCTGGAAGCAGGGAAAGAATGCCAGACAAATCACTTTGATTAGACCCCTTTGCTACAGAAACAGGCTGGGGGAGGGGAGAGGAATGTCTTGTAATACTGCTCTAGCACTAGTTTATCTCCTAGCATGGCACGAACAACACCAGGTGTTTTTGAAGACAATGGGGTTTAAGAGTAAATAAGCTGAGCACCACCCATAGCCTCAGCCTAGCCTTTACCTGATGAAAAGTGCACAGCTTCGTAGTCACACAGGCATCCCTGGGTGGTGCAGACAGTTGCTGTCTGAAAGGTTGAAGGTTCAAGTCCACTCAGAGGTAATTCAAAAGACAGGCATGGCATCTCCTTCAGAACTATCAGCCGACGAATCCCCTGTGGAGCACAGTTCTACTCTCACACACACTTCTGCCCAGTTGGCAGCTCATTTGTTTTGTCTTTTTTTTTGGTCAGCCCTGAATTTCAATTCAGGTTGGGGCCACGTACAAGCTGTGACGTGGAACAAATCAAGGTCTCTGAACCTGCAAGTTTTCTTGTAGTGTGAATTGGACTCAATGATACCTACAGTGTTGCCAATAATAATAATAATCCGAAAGCAAACGTAAAAATGCCTGCGTGATATAAGTGCTTTGAAAGCAGAGGCTATTCTTATTAATAAGGAAAGCCTAGGAGAAACTCAGCAGGAAACCAAGGGCTCTCCGAGAAAAGGGAACCGAAATAGCCACCCGTCGCTCGTCCACTCGGAGGAGAAACCGGAAGGGGACGCTCTGCCCTCCTCCCGCCCTAAGCACGGTGGTCAATCCCGACCCTGAAGGGGTGTTTAGCTTTAGACCCGGGTGAGGGCTGCTCCCCGGCGTCCAGTGGGGGAAGGAAGAGAGAAAGCCACGTAACCCAAAGCTCAAGGCCGAACCCACAGCAGGCCACCGCACCGGATGGGGGTGGGGGTGAGGGTGTGGAGGAGTGTCCTCAGGCCGCGTCCCCCGAGGGCTTGCTCAGGCGGAATCAGCTGACTGTTTGCGCAGGTCAGCCGGCTCGGACCATCCGGGTTCTCAACACCCGCCTTCGGCCCCGGTCTGCGCCTGCCGGGCTGGCCCGACGTCGGCCGCGCGCGCACCTCCCTGCTCGGCGCCGGTCACCTCCGCAGCCAATCAGCTGCCGGATGACCCGCGCGCGCGCCCCCCCCCGCCCCCTGCGCAGCGCCGGCCACTTCTCCAGCCAATCAGCTGCCGGATGACCCGCGCGCGCACCTCCCTGCGCAGCGCCGGCCACCTCTCCAGCCAATCAGCTGCCGGCCAGCGGGCCCGCGCTCGCCTGCCTTTCCTGGGCCGAGAGACGGCGAGCTGTCCTTAGTCACCCTTCAGAGGCCCTCATCTTCTTCTTATAAAAAGGATATTCACATTTCCACGAAGGCCTCTGTCAGTGAATGCAGTACTTGAGGACAGGTGGGAGGCCTCCCAAGGCCCAACAGCCCAACACTGTGCCTTGGTCTGTCTCCCTGGAATTCTCAAGAGCATCCATTAAGGTCCGCTAGGGACTCCCGGGAAAACAGCGGGCCTTTTCTTCTCTTCAAAACCACCCCACCTGTCACCCTAAGTGACCCCTCCATTCCAATTCTCGCGAGGGTATGTAGCGCGAAGCTTCTGTTCTATGCCGGCCATCCCAACCCAGGTTTGGTAGAGAGGAGAGAATGGTATTTGTGAGTAAGGAAATCCTTGCAGTTTGAGGTTTACCCTCCGGCCTGAATTCCCCCAGTTACTTCGTAGTTCACAAACTAGAGAGAGGAGGAAGAAAAGGAATACTTGATTGAGCCCTGGAGTTTTTCATCTGCCCTCTCCCTTCAGCTACACAAGATTCCTGTAAGGGGACGATTATTATTCTTAGGCCTGGAGGTAGCAGGGGGTGGTAGCTATGAAGAAACCGAATCTCACGCTAAAGAACCTTACAGCTGCTGAGCATCTGGCTGGCCAAGGAAGCCAGTATGTTTTTCTAAGTGACGCAGTTTACCAGGGCACCAGGTAGTTGCTAGACCCTTGTTTTGCTTGGGTAGCCCACAGCTAGTGCAATAGATACTCCCTGTCTTTAAGTTAAAAGCCTTTCCAGGAGAGACATGACAGTCTGGTTGCGCCCTGCACAAACTGACCTCCCATTGCTGGCAGATTGTGAGATGCCCCTTTTCACATCTACCCTGCCATCTTCCTTCTCCTGCATTCTCTGGACCCACACTCTTCCCACGGCCGGCAGCAGTCCATCCGATGTTTACGTGGTGGCTACTCTGCCACATTTTGGAGGAATCTGGAATTACTCATTGATCTTTCCGGGTGGTGGATTGTGACTCCTCCCGACCCCAGAGTAAGAGTAGAACGACCCATCACATTTCCAAGACTGGAATCTGTGGAAGCAGACAGCCTCAACTTTCTCCTGAAGAATGCCATGTAGGGTTTAAACCACCCACCGGCCATTTTGGTAAACAGTGGAGCAACTTAACCACTGTGCCACCAGGGCTCCTTTTGAAGTTTTCTTGGACCTCACAGGCCTGGGTCAGCTGCCTCCATCAGCACCTCTACTTCTTTAGGCAGTTCTTATCACACCATTATTGCAATAATGCCCGTCTCTAGCTCACTCTGAAGTTGGAAGGAATCTACCTGAATGCAGATTCAAGGGGTGGTCTTCACTACCACCCCACCATTTAGCTGAATGTCATAGCCCAGCTCTTAGGATGCCAGTGTTTCCTTAGGGACACTACTTTAAAAACTAAGGAACTAGAGCTTGGAAGTTAAAAGAAGGTTAGGAGGAAATTGGAGAGGACCGTAAAAACATGGCCTTTAATCATAATGACAACAGCATTAACAGCTATGATTCATTGAGTGCTTATTATATTCCAGACACTGTTCTAAGTGCTCCTTAAACTTTAACTTGCTTTGAATCACGTGAAAACACAGATTCTTGTTCACTAGGGGCCTGAGACTCTGCATTTCTAACAGGGTCTTGGAGGATGTTCATGCGGCTGGTCCTTTGGTGACACTTTGTGTAGCAAAACTTTAGTGTACTAGCTCATTTCATCCTCTCAAATAGTCCTATGAAGTAGCTACCACCATTATCCCCACTTAACCTTTACTGAAAGGTTAACTATCTATGAATTTAATGTCAAAATAAACATAGGAGAATTCGAAGTCAAGAACAGTATACACAGTGGTGGATACAGTGGTGGAACAAGCAGAAAGAAAACCCCAGGCAGAGGACACAGTGTTTACAACAGCCCGCCATGCTTGGGAGGTGCACGGGCGCAGAGGGCTGTTGTATGGAGTAGGGACTCTACTACTACTTAGGGCTAGGAGCTTTTCAAAGGCCTTGGGTATTGAAGACCTGAAAAGAATTCATTGGTACCCATACATGAAAACTGAACACTTGTGCCAGAAGAAACCAGCTCCTAGACCTCCCCACACACACTTAAATTAATAATTCCAAAATTCAAATAATTAAAACAAGACTTTTCGATGAAATAATCCATATTTAATGAGTGAGATGGGTATGTTGTAACACTTGATAATAAATGAGGTGGACTCTCAGAGTAACAGAGCCTAAAGTCTATGAAATACCGGGCAGGCTCTGGCCACAGTTCATCTGGATATAATCCCGAGGGCAGTTGGGAACCTCTGATATAAGCAGAAAAGTGTTCTCTGTGGCTACGGTGTCTGTAGAGAGTGAGTTGGAGGGAGGCCAGCCTGGAGGCCCAGAGGCTAGAGATCAGAGAGGCAGTTTCAGTCTTCCTGACTTCAGACTGTCTCTCCTCCGTGCCAAGATGAGCATAAAATGATAGCATTATACAACCCAATTATTCTTTGATGCTTCTGCCACAATCTGACTCAGCATTCTAAATTTACTTAAGATTTGGGGATAAGGCTTTTTTTTTTCTTTTATGCCAAATTCTTTCTTATTAAGGCCAACTGTGTGCTATACTCTAGGGGAGGTATTAAGAGCCCAAGCTCACACAGGGGTTTGAACCCCAGATCTTGCTAGCTGTTCGACTTTGACATGTGATTTAGTTTCTCGGTCTTGATTCCTTATTGGTAAATGGTAAAATACATGCCACACAGGGTACTTTGGGAATGAATCCATTTCTTTCATGAGATGTGGTTATTGTTAGCTTTCCCCAACTCTGCACACAAAATGAAATGCTGCCTGGTCCTGCACCATTCTAATGATTGGTTTCAGATCAGACTATTGCAATCCATAGGGTTTTGATTGGTTGAATTCAGAAGTAGATCATCAGGCCTTTCTTCCTAGTCTAGTCTGACAGTTCCACTGAAACCTGTTCAGTATCATGGCAACTGGCAGATGTCTGGTGTCTGCACACAAGGTGCATTGACCAGGAATGGGCCAGGTTTTCTATATTATAGAAGGTAAGATTGTGACTACTGAACTACCAATGCCTCATACTTATAAATGGTAGCTATTATCATATATAAGGAACCCTGGTGGTATAGCAGGCTACACATTGAGCTGCTAATGGCAAGGTCAATGGTTTGAACCCATTAGCTGCTCTGAAGGAGAAAGATGAGGCTGTGTGTTCCCATAAAGACTTAAGGACTCAGAAACGCTAAGGAGTTCTCTCTATTCCATAGGGACTGGAACAGTTGGAATCAACTCAGTGGTGGTAGGTTTGTTTTCTTTTAGTGATCATCTATAAGGAGCCCTAGCGGCAGTATCAGTTAAGCACTGGCTTGCTAACTACAAGGTTGGCTGTTTCAACCCACCAGTCACTCAGCAGGAGGAAGATGACGGCATCTGCTCTGGTAAGGATTTGCAGCCTCAAAACCCCAATTCTGGTTAATATCAATCAGAATGAAATTAATGGCAGTGTGTTTTGGTTTATTATCATATATAAGGAGCCCTGGGGGCATTGTGGGTTGCCACCAGGCTGATAACTACAAGGTTGGCAATTCAGACCCACCAGGTGCTCCTTGTGAGAATGCTGAGGTGGTCGGCTCGTAGAGATTTAAGGTCTTGGAAACTGAGGAGCAGTTCTGATTTGTCTTATTGGTCACTATGCGTTGGAGTCAAATTGATGGCAGTAGGTGTTTTTATGTTTTTGTTTTTAATTATGTCATTCTTCTGTGACCCAGCCATGTTTTGAAAAGGAATAGAGGGTGGGGTAAATAATTCTTCATTAATCGCCTGAAATAAGAATTATGACCTCCATTTTGCAGATAAAGAAACTGGGCCAGATTAACTTAAGGAACTAGGAACAGGAAGGGGGGAATCAGCAAAAGCTAGAATTTTAGTCTTGCTTCGCCTTTGCATCCTCTTCCAAAGTCAACATCTGCTCCTTGCCCCACTCTTTGATGGGTCCCAAAAGTGATCCCTTTGTCATGGCATGAGAC